GATGGTAGACAGGTTGGATCACCAGAAGACTTACTCATGGTGACGTGACTTAGAGGGTGGAGCAGAAGTAGGTGCAGCCCTTGGGGTCATGAGAAGTTTCCTGAAGTCTTCATTAGTAAGTTTTGATCTAGAAGAAAAGGTAAAGATTTCAAAAATTAGTACCCAATAAGAAATGGAAAAGGAACATGTAAAAACACACAGTTAACTTTACTAGAAATCAGAAAAATACAAATGAAAACAAAGACACGCCACTTTTAATGCATCAGAGTGTTAACTACCAAAAAAATTGATAAATTGAGTATGAGTGATAATTCAGAAAGAGAATACTCTCATATACTGCTGATGGGAATGTAAATGAGTATAAACATTTTGGAGGGCAATTTGGCAGTATTTCTTAAAATTGAAGCGCATATACCCCATGATCCAGCAACTCCATTTATCTATATTTAGCCTTTCCAATTACTGGCATTTGCATATAAGAAGGCCTGTAAAAGAAGTTCAATTATAGCCTTGAAAATTATAAAAAGGTTGAACAACCTCAATGTCCATTAACCTGAGAATAAAGTGTTTCCCAAATGTGGAACAGATAGCACTGAGAGTACAAGAGATAACTTTAATTGGTACACTGACAAAAGACTCCCTCCTTGACCAAACTATAGTCAGACTCTTTTGAGCCCTCTTCTGACTAGGGCTCTTTCTTGGTCTGCTGACCCAGTTTTAAAAAAGAATCCTGCTAAATCAGTTTATAAAGAATCCCCCCACTCTTCATAATCAATCAAGCTCCCCTTCCCCCACCCATGATAACTAATTAAGTTCCTCTTCCTCCCAAGGAAGACTTTATTGAAGAGTACTGCAATAGGAGCCAAGACTATTGTAACAAGGGAGAGAGACTGAATTTAACTCCAAATACAACAGAGACAAGTGGGGATTTAGAGAAGCTTACTAAGAGAAACTTGTGGGGGATGGGGGCTTGATTCTTTGCTAAAACATTGTAACAAGGGAGAGAGACTGAATTTAACTCCAAATACAACAGAGACAAGTGGAGATTTAGAGAAGCTTACTAAGAGAAACTTGTGGGGGATGGGGGCTTGATTCTTTGCTAAAACTGAGCTCAGCAGACCAAGGACAAGGCCTACTCAAAAACAGAACTCTTGGATGAACCTGACTAAAGTTTAGTCAAGGAGGGTGTCCTCATCACTGCCATGAAAATAATCTCTAAGATATTGAGTGGGATTAAAAAAAAAAGAGAAAAGCAAGTTACGAAATGGTATACATGGTATATACAGAATAACGCCATTTAACTTAATATTTTAACTTACAAAGCAATATTTTCCTCAGACATGCATGTATGTATATAAATACATATACATACATTTTTCTCTTAAAAAAGAGAAAAAGATACACATAAAAAAGATAAAAGTGGTTACCTCTAAGAAAGAGACTGAAATTGGGAATGTTATCAAAGATGGCTTTACCCTTATTTCTGATGTTTTAATTTTCTACAGGAAGAATTAATTCCTATATAGTGTGTAATTAAACAACATAGTAAAAAAAACTAGCACCTTCCCTGCCAGAATTTCCCCTGTAACACTGTTATGCAATTGGCCTGATCCAATTAAGGTTCACAGAGATACGGGGCCAAGTGGTACGATTTTTTGACCATCCTTGCTGACATAACATTCAGATTATTATTATTATTTTTTTTTTTTGCTGGCCAGTACAGGGATCAAGCCCTAGAACTTGGTGTTATCAGTACCACGCTCTAACCAACTGAGCTAACCGGCCAGCGACATTCAGAATTTTTTCACCATCAACATCACCACTCTACTCATTCCCAGCTCATTTCCATGGTCCTACGATAAAATACTCACTGGTGGAAGGAGTGAGGATCATCCACATCGTGGCCATCTGGGGCCAAAGGGTTGGAGAACGGCTCACCTAACAAAAAGAATTGGCATTAATTTAGTCAAGAGCGGCAGTGACAGTACAATGTGATAAGTGCTGAAACGGGAAAATACAAGGAGCTGTGGGTGCACAGAGGGCCCCTAAACCTGCCCGAACATCACATCTAAAATATTAAGTGAAAGATGAACAAGCGCAATTCAGTATTAACTAAAGGGACGGGAGAATCCATGGACAAAAGCCGCACGACGTCACTGGGGCAGGAACGAGGATTGGTAAGAGTCTGGAGCTGTCCGGCCTCATTTGGGGCAGAACGGCTTCTGCGGGCTCCAGTCGTGTCTCTCTCTCTCTCACACTCACACACACACCGCTTAAACTCAAAAGCTAAAGTAACACGCCAAATGCCCCGAGTCCCACGCAGAAGAAAGCGCAGATGGCCCGAGGCTTACTATCTCGCTCCGGCATTTTGTCCGCTGTCTTTGAACGCCAGCAGGGACCGAGGCTCCAACAACACTGCGGCGACAAACAATCCTTTTCCCACAGTGCACCTCAGAAATCAACCCACAGTGCTTTGCGTACCGAGCCTTTCCGCTTCCTACCTCTCCCGTCTGTCCTAGCCTGTGCGCGGAGAAATTAGAGGAAGACCGCCCAATTACCCTACAATTCTTTAATGTCATTGGCTAAACTTTTCCCCGCCCCCTTACGTCAGTCATGGCGGAGGCCGGCGTGTCCGCTATTGGTCCAACTGGAGAACTTGGCCCGAATACTTGGAATTGGGGGCTTCAGTGCTAGCGAAGATGGCGGTAGCCGCAGCGAGTCGAGGGGTCGGAGCAAAGCTGGGCCTGCGTGAGATTCGCATCCATTTATGCCAGCGCTCTCCCAGCAGCCAGGGCGTCAGGTAGGCGAGGCGTGGTGACACGGGTGGGCTTCGGGACGCCGGGGTCACGACCTCGACCTCCCCGGTGTTTGGGGAAACTCGCGCCCACAGCACGCGCGGCGCTTTCTCCGACCCCGCAGGGACTTCATCGAGAAACGCTATGTGGAGCTGAAGAAGGCGAACCCCGATCTTCCCATCCTAATCCGCGAATGCTCTGATGTGCAGCCCAAATTGTGGGCCCGCTACGGTGAGCGCGGGACGCCAGGGGTCTGAGACCTCTGTGGGGGAACGAGGGTTCAAGAGAAGGAGCCGCCCGAAATCACGCAAAAGCCTGTGGAGAGACTAGAACTTGGCCTTGTTGTTGACCTTATTGCCAATGAAGAAATTTATATTCACAAGGTTATATGATGTTCTGTATCCCGGGCAACATCTACGTGGAGGCTGGCCAGGTCCTGCGTGGGGACCAGGAGCTGTCGTTTTTGTAGTTCAGAATGGGTTTCAGATAGGAAAGAAGAGATGCTAGTCAATTCCTGTCGGTGTAGGTCAAACTAAGTGTAGCCAGTGCCATTCCAGGTAGCATGTGAGAATCTCAATAATGTTGAGCACTTAATACTAGACTCTTTACCGAGTACTTTCTTGCCTAAATATCATTTAATCTCCGTTAATCATGAGAGAGGATCCTTTTTTCATTGTAGAGATTAGAAAACTCAATCAAAATTTTATGGAGCATAACTAGAGTTATGCACCTAGGACATAATAGGATTGAGTCTTTACATCTGTTCCCCTTTCCTAGAATGCACTTCTCCCAGACTTTCATGGCTCACTTTTTTTTTTTTTTTTCTTTTTGTCTTTTTTCGTGTCCGGCAACGGGATCGCAACCCTCGGTGTCGCACCCGCACCTCGCTCAGCCAGTGAGCGGGAACCGGTCTGTATGTGGGATCCGAACCCTCGGCGGGAGCGCCACCGCACTCCCAAGCGGCGCACTGTAGCAGTACGCCACCGGGCCGGCCCCATGGCTCACTTCTTGTTATTATTCAGGTTATTATTTGAGTATCCTGTAAAATAAATTTATACAGTACATTATCGACTCAAAAAAGCATTCCCAGACCAGTTAAGTAACATTGCCTCTAGCCCATTTTTATCATATCACAATCTGAAAATTTCTTGTCAATAAGTATTTATACATACTGAATAGTGGAATTTTTTTTTTTTTTTTTTTGACTGGTAAGGGGATCGCACCCCTCAGCACGGTGTGGTCTGCACCACACTCAGCCCGTGAGCGCACCAACCATCCCTATATAGGATCCGAACCCGCGGCCTTGGCGCTACCAGCACCGCATTCTCCCGAGTGAGCACGGGGCCAGCCCTTGAATAGTGGAATTTTAATCATGACTTTTTATACCATGCCCAAGGAATGTCTGGAGGTGGGGGAAAGAATCACACCTAAAAAAGATTTGTTCAAACAGTGGACATCTGTAATGTGCCATGCACTAATAATTGTTTGCAGGAGGAAAAAAGGTTCTCTTTCCAAAAGCCAGTAGACTAGAGGTGGGAAACAGACACGAGTAACTTTGGTGTATTGTGCTAGCTAAGTATTATGTTAGTTGGACTATGGGAGCCCAGAGAATGGGCACCCAGCCAAGGCTAGGTCCATGCAATATACTGCCCAAGGTGGTTAATAATAAATGCCTATAGTACCCCGTAAAGCCTCCCTACAACACCTTCTCATTGGGGCCACCCAGAATCAGCCAACTAGAATTCCAGATGTGCTTCTTAGATATGTTTGAGACCCACTGGATTAATTTGGGGCATACCAAATCCACTTGGTCATATCTCTTTACTACCTTTCCCATCCTAACAAGACTGTAAGATAAAGACAAAGACCTTTTACATTTTAGTAGCTCCCACACTGCAGAGCAGATACTTAGTCACCTCCTTCTCTCCTCAGCATTTGGCCAAGAGAAGAGTGTCTCTTTGAACAACTTCAGTACTGATCAGGTAACCAGAGCCTTGGAGAATGTGCTAAGTGGCAAAGCCTGAAGCCTCCACTGAGGATTAAGAACAACAGCTCCAGAGCCTGGGCTCTGCTGGACTGAGTACAATGTGGAAAAATGTATTCTCCCATTCCTTATAAAGCTTGTACTGTCAAATGCTGTCTCAGGATATTCTTATCTTCATTCTATCCTCTGTCCTTTAGTGTGCAATCACTGAGGCAAAGGAGTTTAATATAAAAATAAAATTTATTCTGTCTCATCGAAAACTACCACCTGCTAAAGCAAAAAAAAAAAAAAGGAGGAACGGGGGAAGATTCCAGGGCCCCAGAATAGCTAGCCCAAACACTGAGTTCCCTTTGGTCCTCCTGCCTGAACAGTGCTGGGTGAAAGAGGAGCTGGGGTCCAAAGGTCTTGGATTAGGCTTAGGTGTGGAAGCAGAGAGCATGGGACTTCATTATGGTTCTAAACCCCCAAAGGCTCCACCGTCTCGTAAGAGAAAATGGCCAAAGAGGCTGTGGGGGGTGGGAGGCAAGGTGATGGGAGGAGGGGAATTAATAATGTTAAGAAGCCAGGTCATTGAAGAGCTGTCTGCCGGAGAGCATGCACACGATCCTGGAGCTGTGCCTCCTTCTGGTGCCTTTCCAGGGCCTGCAGCCCTGATTGCTGCAGGAAGGCCTGAGTGGCCTGGGGGCAGGGAAGAAAAAGATTTAACACCTGGGTCCCTCTGGGCCTTAAGACTCAATTCCCACAGCCTCATGGGTCAGCCCACTTCTTGGAAGAGGTGCATTCCCAACAAGACAATAAAGGTTCTGACCTGGAGTCTACACAGGCTAGCCAAACCTAGAGAAGCAACTATAGTTAGGACTGAAAGGGAAGAGGGCCATAATGAGACTGGAGGTTTCAGAACAGGGTGGATTGGGGACCAAGGCCAGGAACCCACTACCTCTGGCTGATAAAGGAACAGCAACTGCAGCAGCTCCAAACTCTGGCCTACTACTTCAGTGTCAGAGAAAGCCAGTGTGTTCAGCAAGGAGGGGAGCAGGTGACCTGGCCACATCCGCTGGCAGTAAGCAGGACCCTTCTCTGCAATGTTGCATAGAACCGTGAGCACCTGCAGATAGACATATATACGGTCTCCACAAAAGATGAAAGCCAAAAATCATAGTGATAACTAAAACACAGAGTGCTAACTACATGCTCAGACACTGCGCTAAGCTCTTTACATGCATGTTCTATAATCCCCACAACTGCCCTGTGAGGTAGGATTATCCCCAATTATAAGTGATACTGAAGTCTAAGGTGGTTTGTTGATTTGCCCGAGGATAGTAATAGTAACTAGTAATCCACAGTTTAGGGACTCAACACCTAGACTGGTCTGGCCCTGAAGCCACACACCACCTGCCGCTCTCAGTTAAGGGTTTTCTAAGGGCTCAGGACGGCTTCCCTGTTTACACTTAGACCACTAGGTCTTGGACTCAAGTGACCCCAATACATACCATTACGCTCACTACATTAGATACTGGCAACAGCTGCAAGAGAGGCTCAATCAGATCCAGGGACAGCAAAGAAGTACAGAAACTAGGACTGTTTGCTGGAAGAGAAAATATGAAGTATCTTAAACTGAGGCCTGAACCTCTGTGCTCCTCTCCCCCTCATCCTATCCACCTCAGTGTAGGCCATGAGAAAATATCCCCAGTATCTAAAGATCCAGGCCTGGGTAGATTATGGTGCATACCAGTGAGGTTGTTGAGGAACCAGAGGCCCTCAGGAAGCAGGCCAGGCTGTTTTTGGAGGAAGAACTGCAGAAGGATAAATAAGGCTGCCACAATACGCTCATCTCCCAGCTGCAATGGCCCTCCCACAGCCTCTTCTGCTGGCTCCGTTAGCAGGTTGCTTAGACACCGAAGCACAGGGCATGCCAGCTGCAAAGACAAATTGGGGGTCACTTGTAAGGAGGAAGGTGTTACCTACACACCAGAGGAAGGCCAGAGTATGAAGAAAAATCTCCCAAGAGTTTAACCTGTCCTCTTCACCCACCAGCTCCAGTCCTGCATCCTCAGTTCTCTGGACAGCCCCAGCCAAGTCCAACAGCAGCAGCCCCAGAGTGGACAGACCCCCATGGGTGATAAGCAGGGCATTGTTCACCTGGCTGGGCAACAGGATGCAGTCACTATCCAATCAATCCTACCTTTAAGCTGAAAAGCAGCCTATGTCTCCTGGGCTCTAAGAGAGGGTCATGGAGAAATGAAACCTCTAAAACAATTCCACAAACTGAAGTTCAAAGACCTAAGTGTCATGGAAGGGAGCCCCAGGGCACTTTCCCAACTGGCCTGTGTTACCTGCAGGTGATGTAGTGAAGACACCAGGCAAACTCCACAGCAACCCCAAGGTTCAGCTTCGGGCCAGGTTGCAACAATCGCAGCATGTGCTGGGGGAGAGTGGAGCCCAGGATGGAACTGCCAGCAGAAGCCGGGCTGTGAGTAGGAATCTTCAAAGATGCCAGTGTCTCTTCCCACACCCTGATAGGTGGGACTCTATCCAAACCAAAGCCCTTCCTAGCCAGACACATGGAGTTAAAATGTGCAACAGCTTTGGAAATCAGACTTGATCAGGTATCAGGGGCTATACTACTGAGTGCGTCACCTCTGTCTGCACATCTACAGACACAATTTTACTTACGGAACGATCTTCTCTGGAGCCTCTTTAGCCTGCAGAAGTTGGGACAAGGCATATCCAAGGGCTTCCAACACAGCCACATGGGGTGACTAAAAGTAAACATTGTAATAATGATCAGACTCTGGAAGCTGGGTCATAAGGTTTCCTGAGACTTTCAGCCCCTTGGCACAGGGCTGTAGCTACCTAACCAAAGGAGGTGGGACATGTGGAAAGAAACTAGGGGAAGATTGCCCAGGGAGGGAGAAAGGAGGCACTCACCAGGATGCAGGCAGCCAAGGCTGGAACAATGCCCTGTGGCAGGAGCTGCCTTCTCACAGCCTCACTCTCCACGATCAGGTTACCCAATGTATATAGACACAGCTCCTGAGAGCAGGCAACAAAAGCACTGGGCTTGGCCCATCTCACACCAGGCCAGGGGTGAATGGGGAGGATGGAGTGCCCCAGTCCTTGAGGCTCACAAGAGGGTGGGAGATGATAGGGGTATGCAAAGCTGTGGGCATCACGGGAAAACAGGTTTTCTTCTTCCCCCTACTTGCCAGCTCAAACTGGACCCAAAAGCAGAGTTTTTTAATCTAAGCCAAGAACAAGATAGGAAGGGACAGGGCTTACTATGAAGTCTGAGCTGTGACCGGAGAGGTAGGTGAGGAGATAGGAAGTGGCTGGCAAGCAGGCCTCAGCCACCGCAGACTGCTCAGAATGAGACAGCTCATGAAGGCACCGAGCCGCCTCAAGCTGCAGCAGGGCCTGGTTGCTGGTCAGAAGCCCGACCAGGGTCCGCATGCTGCCCTCCAGCCTACACAAATGAGCACCAAAGGCCTGCTCAGCCTGTGGTCCCTCCCTCAAAAGCCCAGCCACCTACTCACACAACCCACACTGACCGGATGAAAGTTTGCTGCGTTTCAGGGTGCTGCAAGCCTCGACGAAGGCTAACCAGAGCCTTCTCTCTCTCCTTTTCCTCTGTCCCCCGCTGGGCTAGCTGCAGGAACTGCTGGACCTGGGACCCAGAATGGGGAAGAACACATAGTTGACAAGAAGCAAGTCCAGAGTCCCACTTTGCCCACTTCACCTGTGAGCCCTCCAATATCACCCTATCCCCCAAAATTATCATTCACACTAATACAGCTAATAAGCATCAACCTTGCAGTGGAGTTAACAGAGAAAATCAAAACTAAGTTCTAGTCTGCATCCAGCCCAGTGACAACAGAGCCATCGGAAACGCTCCAGCTCCCAGGGTGGGGCCCCGACCCAGGGCCTCAGCCACGCCCCCCCAAAGTCTCCATTGAGCCCAGCCACGACCCAGCCGCCACTGAAGCCCCCTGGGCTCTCCTGCTAGAACGACCCAGACTCGACCACGCCCCCCTTCCTCTTCCTCCCACCCTATCCCCACCCCTTTCCCCTTCCTGCCAACTGCTCCACAACATCTTAGAATGTAAAAATAGTAATAATTACTTAACTTAAAAAAAAAAAAAACTAATACCAGCCTAATACCAGCCCTGCCACTTACTTCACATGGGATCCGAACCTAAGTTTCCTCACATAAAAAATGAGAATAACCGTATCTACCCTGCCCTCTTACAGGTTTATCTCAAGGATAGCATTTAAACCTCTCAGCCTGGCAAAACCTACCCTTCCAGCCATTCACCCCATGCAACCTACATTCCAACAACACCTAGCATAACAGTTGTTTTTTAATGCTTCCATGCTTTGGCACATGCTATTCCTTCTGCCTGGAATACCTTCTCCAGATTCCTACTCTCCTCAGATTTTTGCTCTTTATTGCCTCTGAGAAGTCAGCTCTTTTTGGCTTCCTTTGGCCAACTTAGGAATTTCTCTTGTGCCTCATTTTTCCTTCTGTTATGTCAGATGGCCACAGGCACATCTGTTTCCTTCACTGGGCTGTGAGCACTTAAAGGGACTCTTATCTTTTCATCTTTGTGTATCTCACTGCCTAGCACAGTGTCCTGTCATGAAGCAAACACAAGATGAACAAATAGTATAACCTAAGCCTAAGTGCGTTGTAAACTATACATGTAAACATAGAAAATACAAACACAGGATATCCAAAGCTTGCTGAGTGAACAAATCCTTTCATTCACTCAGTCAATAAATACTGATCATCTACTATATGCCAGCTACTGTGCAGGCATCTGGGTTTTCAATGATGACAAATAAGACAGGGTTTAGGTTCTTGTTGATTTAAAGTCTAGTTGGAGAAACGATAATAAACAAGCAATTAGATAATGACTAATATTCGGCAAGAAACTAACAGGCTGCCAAGACAGAACACCAAAAGTGACCCATTTTAGATGTAGCGACTGCAAAGTCCTTGTTCCAGGAACTGAAAAGGGCACAGTGGCTGGGATGAGTAAGCTGATGAGGTTGGAGGTAGGCAGAGGCTAGACCATGCTGGGCCTTCCAAGTCACAGAAAGAATTTTAGTCCCTGGTTTTTAAAAGACGCACTGAGGACGGCAAGTGTAGATACAGAACAAACTTTTAGGAGGCTGCTGTAGCATCCAGAGAAGAGTTGGTGGTGGCAGTTGAGATGGCGGGGCATGTAAAGACTCGGGAGTCTTTAGGAGGTAAAAACAGCAAGGACTTGTTGATGGATTGATGTGGGGATGAAGCACAGAGTCGGGGAGGATGATTTCCCTATTTCCGGCTTGACCCACTGGATGGATGGAGGTGTAGAGTGGACCGCGTTCAGACTTGGGGCGGGCCAGGAATACTCGCGGGAGCGTGGCGTCGGCAAGCGTGGACTACACCGCGCACCCCGCCCTGCCCCCTCACCTCGGCTTCCCCGAGGATCTCCGCCACACATCCCCCTCTGGCTTCCTCCTGGGCGTCGTCTCTCAGAAGCCTCTTGCTGACCAGCTGCTGCTCCCTTCGCGCCTTCCGCAGTGCTGGGGGCAGAAGAGCCGGCTGAGTGTGGCAAGGGCACCCAGAACCAGCAGGTCCGAGCCCGTGTCTCTTCATACTGTCTCCGACCGCCATAACCCTATTCTCCCTTGCTCCCTCATCCGCCCACACCTGCCTCCCGCTCCCGCCGGCGGCGCCGTAGCTCCTCCACCCCACAGACGGACGGCCTAAGGCGGCCCTGCCGTAGCCTCCACATGTTAGAGCTGGAGGAAACGCTCAAGGTGCTCCTCCGCCACGAAGCCGCTCAACGGTTGGAAGGTGGCACGGAGTGCGCAGGCCCGAAAGGAGTGTGACGCACGAGGGGGCGGGGCGCGGTGAAGGGCAGGGGCGGGGCGGAGCCAAGGTGAGGGGGCGGGGCGGAGCGGAAGCTAGAGGCGGAGCGGGACTAGTCCCGGGCGTAAAGCAGCGGCTCAGCAGCCCCCACTTTCCCTCCGATTGGGTTCTCTCCTTCCTAATTCTAGGAAAGTAACTCCTCCCCGACCCTGGCCGCCCCAGGCCAGCAGTGACACCATCCACTCAGTGAACGTAACTTCCTCACCCTCAACACACTCTAGACAACCATTCAAAACAACCCCGAGCTCTGGGAAGAGCCCCATGCCATTTCACCAATGACGTGGCTCCCACTGATGAGTATTGCCTAAATGGTTGAAGCGTCATTGAATGTTCACCACGTTTATTGATGAGGAAAGTGAGGAAAATATTATTTCACTGCTCTTCATAAAAGAGAGTTCCCATTATTTTTAGGATAAAATAATTCTTTCACCAAATGTTGAGTGCCTCTACTCTACCACTACTGGGGCAACACTGATGAATAAAATACCGAGCTCCTCACCCTCAACATCCGACTTGTGGCAAACTAAGCCTTACATGGTCTATCCCTGTATATCTCTCCAGTCTTGGCTGCAATAGCGCCTCCCCTTACTTATCTCTTCTGGGATCTTATCTTTGTTCCCTAAACCAGCCCTGTTCTTTTCCTCCCCCAGGCTTTTGCTCAAGCTGTTTCTTCTGCCTGGAGCTCTATCTCTGCCCTCTGCCAGCGCGCTTCCCTTAACACCATCCTCAAGATCTCAATTCCAATGTCACCCGCCCAGAACCACTGGACCAGTTCCCCTATTATGTGAGTGCATAGCACCATGTACTTCATAAACCTTTTCACAACTGCCATTAAGTTATAGTGTAATTGTTTGACGTCTCCTCCCATGCCCCCTTCACAGCTCCAAGAGAGTAGAGTCCTGATGGCACTTAATCTTTATGGGAGGGCTCTAATTTTTACAAAGCTATTACTTAGGCAAGGTGTGGGGAAAATAGGATAATTTCGTCAGGCTCTATAGATATTGCTAGTAAACAAGTTGTGTGTGAGTGGAGTTAGTGCGCATGTGCACCCATGTATCTTTTTAGTTAATTGCTTTTGTGTGTTCTTCAGTTTGTGAAGCAGAGCTGGCCTTAGAGCTCACGTCTAAAAATAGAACATGTTTACTCTGTGGGCAGCTACTCAGTTTTTCTTTGGACTTTGCCAGTAGCAGTTGAGTTTCTGAGTTTCTCTGTGGACTGCTTAGCTCATAGTGTTGTGTGAGCTGAATGAAGACTATTCCTTCTTCAACCAAGGCTCCAAGGACCTTTTTGCTGGTTACCTAGCTCATAGACCTGCGTGTGAAGGGTTTGTGAAGGGGCAGGACGGGTCTGTGAGATCCAGACCCTAGCCCTACATAAGGGTACTAGTAAGGACAAATCCAGGAAAGAGATTGTTCTTCAAATCAACTTTCTTCCCTCTAATTTAATTCTACCCCTTGAGTCAATCAATGATGTTTGCATTCTCTTCCACAAAACAGACAGTTAAATTTCTACAGACCATCATCCTGTCCTCCACATCTCTCCAGGCCCAATGTCCATCGAGCCCCTGGACAGCCATTTGCTGAGCACATGCCGTACACCGTGCTCTGGCTAGGTCTTAACCTCTTCCTTATGCAGCAGATTGGCTTCTGAAACCTACATCTTATTTATGGTGGGAAGATGAGACAAGTTCATAGATAGAAACTATGTTCTGCCCAGAGTGTCTGCTCAGACAGTTACAGCTGCCCACACTGACTTTCTGTACCTACCTACCTGACAACACTGTTAAAACCTGTAAGAACAACCCCATGTCCTGTCTTCTACAGAGATGGCTGTTCCTTTCTGCAGACCCCCACAAGCCCTTAGTTTTTCCTCTGTAAGCATCTTCTTCGCTGTGGACTGCAGTTCTGAGTCTGTGTTTCCTTCCCCCACCTACTAGAGTGTAACTACTGGAAGTATGTAAGGGACTGTGTCTTTGTCATATCTGCATCCCGGGGCTTCCCACCAACCCTGGCACTTGGTAGACAAATGATAGATATTTGTCGAATCAAGGCATGAGTTGGGGATCTTTGAAGAACCAATTGCCCCTTTCAGCTTAGACCACCCCACTCAGAGTGGCTCCCCTAAGGTGGCAGGGTTTGCTGAGGAGCCAGACTTCAGCGGCCTGAGTCCTCTGAATACAGAGACTCTGAAGAAGAAGAATAACAATCAAGGCTACCCTCAATAGATGTGGCTCTGTGCTAGGGACTTTACTCACAGACAGGTACTACTACTATCTCCATTTTGAACAGGGGGAGCCCAGACACTTACCCAAGTCTCACAACCTCAGTGACAGAGCTGGATTCCAAGCCTGGCTGTCTGACTTCAGGGTCAGTGTATTTAAAACCAGACTATACATAATTACATCTTGGTCCTCAGGGATGTCACAGTGACCTGCCTGGCCGTGGGACATCGCTTCTGAAATTAGAGTGAGTTCAAGAGACACAGAGGGACAATGTGGTCTGATGAGGCCTCCTTGTTTGGGTTGGGGGCATATGTACAGTCGCTCTTCAATTAAAGGAGAAGTGGGAATTTAAAAGTTTTTCATGGGCCGGCCCGGTGGTGCACTGGAGAGTGCGCCGCTTGGGAGCGCTGCGGCGCTCCCGCCAAGGGTTCGGATCCCATGTGGAGACCAGTTCCTGCTCACTAGCTGAGCGCGGTGCGGGTGCAACACTGAGGGTTGCGATCCCGTTACCGGTCAGTAAAAAAGACAAAAAGGAAAAAAAAAATTCATTTGGACATACTTATGCGGCTCCATTTCTGGATTCTCTTCTCTTCCATTGATCCATGTGGAATTCCACCAATGTCACACTGTCATGATTACCATAGCTGTATAATAAGTCTCAAAATTAGGTAGTGTGATTCCTCCAACATTCTTTTTAATTTTTTTTAATTTTTATTTTTGATTGTTTCAATATTGCACGTACTTCTAAGGACTCTGTACATAATATTTCCAGGGGCAGATGTACAAAATTTTAATGCAAACAATGTTGTCGTAGCATGGGGAGGGGCGGCGGGGGCGGGGTGTCAGGCCCAACAGACAGCAGGACGTCGGGTTCCTCACTGCGTTGGTCACTGCCAGTTTGCATGAAAAAAGGAAGTCCCTGTCAACCAGAGACTGGACCGGATCGCGGAGGGCTGTTATAAATGGATAGCCCCTACCCTCACCCTCTGGGACACTTGCTTTCTTTCTTGGCAACACAGCTAAGTTATTAATATATTCTCATTCGACATAAGTCCAACCCTTCCTTCCTAGGACACAGGAATTGTATTGAGGGGAGAGCAAGGTGCAAGTGGGAAAATTATGTTGGAATATCTTTGTTTCCAATTTCAGGACAGGAAATGGAAACTGTAAGTGATCGAGCAACTTGGCCAATGTGTCTCTGTTAAACACCTCTACGTTTAAGAAAGTTATTACTTAAAGGAATAAGTAAGAAAAAAATAAAAGGAAGGGGAGTTGTTCTTCAGACCAAATTTCTTCTCTTGAACCTAATTTTCCCCCCTTGGAGTCAATAGATGAGGTTTGCAATCCATTCCCCAAAACATCCAGTTAAATATCTGAGGATAGTCAGGGGCTTGGATTTGGGAGGCAGGATGTTAACAGTAACCAAGACTAAGGAAAAGTTGAAGAAAACTAATCAAGCTGAGTCGCTAGAATATAAATAGGACGGGGGTGGGGGGGTGGACAGGGTACAATACTGGCCTAAGTCACGGAGGATCGTCCTTTCCCCGTACCCACCAGACAAGCCTAGGGCACCTGAGTCATCAGGCACTGCCCTGGGGTGGGTGAGTCATCAGGACACTGCCTGGGACAGAGGGCCCTAGATGCCCTCCAGGACCCTTCCTGTTGCTGTCCCTCTCCCTTCGTTGCAACACTTCCCAGAAAGGAAGTAAGGCGGGCGGTTAGGAGGAAGAGTTGGGGAGGTGTCCAGCGTTCACAAAGGAGGGAACAGAGGGACATCCCAGGGTTACATAAACTCTTAGAGGTCGCCAAGAGTTAGGACAGAAACGCTCCTGCAGTCTGGAAGCCGGCGGGTGCTGCTGTACAGAAAAGAAGCCACAGCCCTTCCAGAAGGTCTAAGGACTTGTCGACCATGGTGAGTGTACAGTCTTGGGGCGAACGGAAGCCACTGGGGAACCCCAGAAACGGGCTGGGGCCTCCCTGATCTCTGCTCTCTCCGCAGGAGCGTGCACCCTGCTTGTTGCTACTGCTACTGCCACTGATGCTTGTCTCCGCGGCCACGCCAGAGCCCTGCGAGCTGGGCGATGACGATATACGCTGCGTCTGCAACTTCTCGGGTCCGCAGCCCAACTGGTCCAGCGCCTTGCAGTGCATGGCTGCCATCGAGGTGGAGATCCACGGCGGCGGCCGCAGACTAGAGCAATTTCTAAAACACGATAATGTCAACGCCGACCCGAGGCAGTTTGCTGACATGGCCAAGGCTCTGCGCTTGCGGCGGCTCACGGTGGGAGGTGCACAAGTTCCCGCTCTGCTCCTGGTCGGCCTCCTACGTGTGCTGGGGTACTCCCGCCTCAAGGAACTGACCCTCGAGGACCTAGAGATAACCGGCACCGTTCCACCGCCGCCTCTGGAAGCCACGGGGCTTGCGCTATCCACCTTGCGCCTCCGCAACGTGTCGTGGGCGACAGGGGGTGCCTGGCTCGCCGAGCTGCAGCAGTGGCTCAAGCCGGGCCTCAAGGTACTGAACATTGCCCAAGCACATTCGCTTGCCTTTTCCTGCGAACAGGTCCGCGCCTTCCCGGCACTCACTACCCTCGACCTGTCTGACAACCCCGGACTGGGCGAGCGCGGACTGATCGCGGCTCTCTGTCCACACAAGTTCCCTGCCCTGCAGGATCTAGCGCTACGCAATGCGGGGATGGAGACGCCCAACGGCGTGTGCGCTGCGCTGGCGGCGGCGGGTGTGCAGCCCCAGAGCCTAGACCTCAGCCACAACTCGCTGCGCACCACTGCACACGCCGGCGCTTCCGGGTGCGTCTGGCCGCGAGCGCTAAACTCCCTCAGTCTGTCGTTCGCTGGACTAGAGCAGGTGCCTAAAGGACTACCGGCGGAGCTCCGAATGCTCGATCTCAGTGGCAACAGGCTGAATAGGGCGCCGCGGCCAGACGAGCTGCCCAAGGTGGGTAACCTGACACTGGACGGGAATCCCTTCTTGGTCGCTGGAGCCTCCAGATTCCAAGAGGACCCCATGAACTCCGGCGTGGTCCCAGCCTGTGCGCGTTCGCCCCTGGCAGTGGGGATGTCAGGAACCCTGGCGCTGCTCCAGAGGGTCCGAGGCTTTCCCTAAGGCCCAGGGAAGAAGAGCGAATGGGCTCAAATCGCCCCGGCTTCGGGGTACTCAGGTCAGGACATTCAGGACTTCTTGACCAACCAACTCTCTGCCACACTTTTATTAAAATTTTAAACAACGGAAAATGAAAAAGAAAAAAGTTTTTCTTTTAACAACTGGTCCTTGTCATTCACTCAACAGACCTTTATTGAGTATCTGCTATGTACTGGGCACAGTGCTGGATGGGGAATCCATCATACTCGAACTTGGACTTTCTTCATCTTAACTCCCGAGAAACTATACTTGCCCTCCTCAAGAAAAAAACTGCAGGTGCAGAAGGGACAGGGAAATGTCGCCTAGCTAGGGCTGTCATGGGAGAAAAAATGAGTGTCTGTGCAGGCAGGGATTTCTGAGCAGATTAATGGCATCTGGGTTAAAGGATGTTTGAATGGTAAACATACGTTGGAAGATACAGAATGTTTCCTCTTCCATGCACTTTCCAAGATCCAGCCATTCCCTTTCAAATGTAATAAAACCCAAAGCCATTTGCTTGTCCTCTCTCTTTCCCTCTCTCCCACCCCTGAGGGAGGAGGCGCAGAGGTGCCTTCTGTCCTACATAAGCTCTGAGTTTCATAATTTCAGGGTTCCTCTACTATGGTGTAAAACCACTTTGCACCCACAGGTACATTGACTTTCACTGTGTCACTCCACCACATAATGGGGAATTGGGGCATGGGGAACTAATGCAAGATACAGTATGTCGCTGAACGAGAGATCTTGTGTTCTGCTAGTCCATATGTGGATAACTGTTTCAGGCTGACTCTTTGATTTGCAAATAGGATAAGTCTCAGACCCTTCACAACTTTGGAATGAACAGGATGTGCTGTCTAAACCACATTAACTCAGAGGGCCAGGACATCAGCCATCAAGTGGTATTCCTCTGTTCCTTCTGTGTCCTTTTTTCATTACGATGAGAAGGCAGCCACATCCATCAAAGAGCTAGACACCTGCCTAAAAGGGGACAGGGAGAGGGGTGGAGGAGGCATATAAGACCAGCACTCCTACCTGCCTCTGGCCAGTGTCCAGAGCCACACAGATAGGAGTGGGGAATGGAGATTAACATTGATGGGAGTGTTACAGAGGTCACCAGAACCAGACTTCAAGAATGGCAGAAGACAGCTAAATTAGCTGGACAACCACTGGAGTGTCCCCAAGGGGCCTGCCATCAACCAGTTGGAAGATTTCTAGTATCAAAGAATTAATCACATCAAGGCAATTTCTTACATTTGAATAGCTCTGGTCACACTTCATCAAACAGCTGCAGGGCCCCTGTTCCAGCTCAGACCCTATAGTAAAGGCTGGCATACAAACATACATCAGAAACATCCATGCCCTCAGAGAATTCTGAATCCAGTAAGGGAGGCAGACACATACAAGACAGTTGTGATTCAGTGAGAGGGAGGAATCATCTTATAAAAGGAGAGGTTGTTCTAGGAATGCTTTGCAAAAGATGAAACTTTTAATCTGGGCCTTGAGATATGAATATCACTTCCTCAGGAAGAACATCCCAAAGCAAAAATGGTCAGCATGTTCAAAAGCTCAGACACCTGAAAACAGATGGCCAGACCTGGGAACTGTAAGTGGCTAGGTAGAGCTGGAGATCATGGTGATGAAAGCTGGAAACATTCATTCATTCAAGTGCCTATTATGTGTCAGGCACTGTACTAAACCCCGGGAATATAGCAGGAGTAAAGCAGAAGTTCCTGCTCATATGGAGTTCAGATTCCAGTTGGATGGTGGGTTTTATGGACTGAATGTTTTTGTCCCCTCAAAATTCATATGTTGTTCTGATGTTAAATGCCAGGACAAAAGAAAAAAAAATCATATGTCGAAGTCCCAACCCCCAGTGTGGCAGTATTTGGAGATGGGCCCACTAAGGAAATAATTAAAGCTAAATTAGGTCATAAGGGCAGGGCCCTGATTCAAATGTTCTTATAAGAAGAGACACCAGCGAGTTCACACATGCTCTCTCCCAGTCCCTGAACATGCATGAAGGAAAGGCCATGTGAAGACATAGTGAGAAGACAGCCAGGAAAAGAGCCCACCAGAAACCAACCATGCTAGCACCTTGACCTTGGACTTCTAGCATCCAGAACTGTGAGAAAATAAATTTCTATTGTTTAAGCAACCCAGTCTAGGGTATTTTGTTATGGTAGCCTGAGCTGACTAAGATAGTGGTGGTGATATCATATTTCGGATTGTGATAAATGCTATGAAGACAAATGAAACAGAGAAAGAGGGCAGATAGTGTTGAGGATTGGTACATGTTAACACACAAAAAAAGAGAAAATTAACAGGTCAGAGGCAAATGAAGCATTGAATCAGGAATAGGAATTGTAGCCCATGTAGCAAACAGAGACTGTACCACTCAGGAGGGGAAAGGAGGCTTACATTTACAGAAAATTTATTTAGATTACATAAATTGTCAGAGTATTTCATTGGTTAAAAAGATGTCTTTAATCATGAGTAAAATGGGGCATTTGTGTCAGTATGCAGGGGAAAGCTATAGTATCCTTAAATATTAGGATTAGTTTTCTTGAACTGTGCATTGTTGGGAATGCAGATGTTTGGGAAGGAACTTGGTTTTCATAGTTACTCTGTGGGTATCAAAGTTCTTCAGCAGTTCAACATGGAGTCAGCAGCCCAAGATGGAGTCACAGATGTTATGCCTTGAATATTGCTAAGCTCACACATGTTATATAGCATTGTCAAGGAGGGCTTCTCTGATAAGGAATACAGTAGTCCCCCCTTATCCGCAGTTTTCCTTTCCGTGGTTTCAATTACCCACAGTTTCAGACCCCAGTCTGAAAATATTAAATGAAAATCCCATAAATGAACAATTCATAAGTCTTAAATTGCACACCCTCCTGAGCACTGTGATGAAATCTCATGCCATCCGGCTCTGGCCCACCCAGGATGTGAATCATTCCTTTGTCCAGCACATCCACGCTGTGTTTGCTACCCACCCATTAATCACTAGCCATCTTTGTTGTCAGATTAACTGTCATTGTATCACAGTGCTGTGTTCACGTAGCCCTTATTTTACTTAATAATAGCTCCAAAGTGCAAAAGCAGTGATGCTGGTGATTTGAATAGGCCACAGTAAAGACATAAAGTGCTTCCTTTAAGTATAAAGGTGAACGTTCTTGACTTAATAAGAATAAAAATCATATGCTGAAGTTGCTAAGATCTACAGTAAGAACAAATCTTCTATCCATGAAATTGTGAAGAAGGAAAAAGAAACTCATGCTACTTCCTGTTGCACCTCAAACTGCAAAAGTTTGGGCCACAGTACGTGATAAGTGCGAAGTTAAGATGGTAAAGGCATTAAATTTGTGGGTGGAAGACATGAACGGAAACATGTTCCAATTGATGGTAATTGGGTTCCGTATGAGGCAACCACTAGGGATCTTGGAACATATGCCCCAAGGATAAAGGGAGACTGCTGTATTTAAACAGAGACCTGGTGCACAGAACCTAAACAAAGTCTGCAAGTGAAGAACTTATTCTTTCTACATGGACCAAATTTTGTTTTTTTGGAAGTCAGAGCTTTATTATCATTCAATTTTCTTCCACCACTTTCTGTGGGATTCCTTGCACCAGTTTTCCATATATCTGGAATAACACTACCAATTTCTTTTCACATTTCTTGCACATCATTCTTTCATAGACAGTTCCCTTAGCAGCAGACACAGCAGCAGCTTGAAAATATCAACATCACAGCCAGTGAAGGATTCCACTTCCAGCCCCTAAGATCTCCACTCCCACTTGTCCTAACCCAGAAAAGAGGCAGGAGGAATAAACGTGAGCATGTAGGTAGGGCTACTTCATTTTCTAGATATATTTTTTTAAATGTCAAGGACTGAGCTCTGAGACAGTACATTAGAGGTCATAAAAATGGGGAGGAATCAGCAAAGGAGACTAATAAGGAATGGCCTGTGAAAGAGAGAGAAGACAGAAATGTCTGGAAGCCAAGTGAAGAAATTGATTCCAAGGGAGGGAGTGATGTGTTTGGTAAAAGGCTGCTGATAGGTGAAGAGGAAAAATGAGAATGGACTGGGGATTGACAATGTGAAAGCCAGGAGTGCCCATGAGAAGGACAATTTAGATGAAGTGGTGAGGACAAAAGTCTAATTGGAGTGTTTGAAGAGAATGGGAGGAGAGGAATTGTAGCAAGCAAGTATGGATACCTCGTTAAAGGAGCTTTCCTTTAAAATGGAGCAAAAAATAGGGTAATAAGTGGGATCAAGAGATTTGTTTGCATTTTTTGCTTGTTTTAATTTTTAATTTTGGTAAATTATACATAACATAAAATTTACTATCTTAACCATTTTTAAGTGTACAGGTCAGTCATATTAAGCACATTCGTATTGTTATGCAACCATCACCACCATCCATCTCCAGAATATTTGTCATCTTATAAAACTGTAATCTATACCCATCAAGCAATAATTTCTTTTTTTTTTTTTTCCTTTTTGTCTTTTTTCGTAACTGGCAATGGATCGCAACCCTCAGTGTCGCGCCCGTACCGGACCGGGACCAGCAACGGGATCGCAACCCTCGGTGTTGCACCCGCACCTCGCTCAGCCAGTGAGCGGCCGGTCTGTATGTGGGATCCGAACCCTCGGCGGGAGCGCCACCGCACTCCCAAGCGGCGCACTGTAGCAGTGCACCACTGGGCCGGCCCCTCAAGCAATAATTTCTCTTTCCCTCTGTCTCCAGCACCTGGCAACTACCATTTCATTTTGTGTCTCTGTGAATCTGACTACTGTAGGTACCTCACATAAGTGGAATCAGAAATGCAGTAATAGATAGAAACTGACCTGGATTGCTCCAGTCTGAACTCAGATCACATAGGACTTCAATCGTTGAACAAACGAATCTTTAATAGCAGCTGCACCATTGGGATGTACTGATCCAACATCGACGTCATAAACTCTATTGTCGATAGGGACTCTAGAATAGAGTTGCGTTGTTATCCCTAGGGTAACTTGTTCCGTTGATCAAGTCGTTTTGGGTCAATTGGTGATTGTGTGGCTTTGACTGGTTGGTCTAGGCCATAGTCATTCGAAGGTTTTCTTTTACTCTGAGGTCACCCCAACCAAAATTTCTGGCTCATAGGGCTTTGTTGTTAATGCCTGGGTTAGGTTTATATTGTTTTGCTTGAGCTAGTTAATTAAAGCTCCATAGGGTCTTCTCATCTTATTTTTGTATCCTCACCTCTTCACAGGGAGGTCAATTTCACTGATTGGAAGCAGGAGACAGTAAAACCCTCGTGTGGCCTTTCATACAAGTCCCTAATTAAGGAACAAATGATTATGCTGCCTTTGCACAGTCAGTATACTATAGCCATTGAACTGTGTCACCGGGCAAGCAGTGCCTCTAATACTTGTAATGCTAGAGGTAATGTTTTTGGTAAACAGGCGGGGCTTATAGTTGCCGAGTTCCTTTTGCTTCTTTTAATCTTTCCTTTGTGCATGCCTGTGTTG